CTCCCTGTTTGGCAGGGAACTTAAGAGTAATGTTGGGAATGAAACCAGGGTCACTTCTCTCTCCTGCTTAAGCCCTTCAAAGCTTCTGTATTACTGTAACAGAAAGTTCAAACTCTTTGCATTGCTTCCACTGCCATCTGTGATCATCTGTTTCTCCAGCCCCTTCTGCCCCTGCCTTTGTAACCCCAGCCACATTGAATTACTTGCCCCAGACCTTCCTACCTCCAGCCCTTCACACAAGCTATTCTGAGGCACTTTCTCTCCCCAAATTCCCTGACTCACTGTGTCTGGCTTAGGCTGCATTTTTTCCTCCTTTGCTAACTCTGATTAACTGCCGGGGGAGGGGGCGGGGAGAGGGTGGGCATCTGCCTGGAATGCTAGTTTGAGAAGGTTTTCGGGGCCCAGGTTAGTGGGAAAGAGAGCTGTGAATAGTGAAATGTATTTGCCATGGAAGGAGGAGTGGGTGTGTGCAGTCTAACCTTTGCCATCCTTGATGTAATACTTCCTATCTTCTAGGTCAAGCCCACTCTCTCCCCATGCAATCCTCTGACTGCTTCTGCTCTCGCTGATTTCACCTTCTGCAAATGTGTTTATATAAATTAGAGTCACATGACTTAGCTCCAAATCGTTCCATAATTGCACTAGGCATTATTTTTGTCTCCTGGTCTAGGCTAGAAGCTCTGATAAAGCAGAACACGTTTACTCTCATCCTTAATCTTCTCTGACACAACTGGGAAACAGGTGCTTGTGCGTGAATGCATAGCTGCTTGCAGCCTTTGGCTTTTGATCCCCACTATGCTGTAGATAACCACTTGTTCTTGAATCTACACTCCTTCCTGCAGCCTCGAAGCCCCTGTGCTTCCATGCTGCCTCTCTGGGCTCACCTCCTGTCACTTGCTCCATCTGGAACTCTGCTGTTGCCTGCCTGTGCCCTGCCTGAACTTCTCATGGCTCCCTCCTTCACATCATTCAAGTCTCAATTCAAATGTCACCTTCTCAAAGACTCTTTCCTGACCACCCGCCTACTCCTTTGTGGCTCTCTAGAACCTTACCCTGCTTTATATCCTTTACATCACACTCTCACTTCCTGAAATTATTTACTGATGTGCTTCCTTTTTCCTTACTCTCTGTCTTTCCCTACCACCCTGCCTTCGCAAGTAAGCTTCCAGAAGGCCATGTTTACTCTGCATTGTTCTCACTGTATCCTCACGCCAGGCGCTGTTGTTGAATGGATGGATGGATGAATAAGTGAATGAATGAATGAATGTCTAACAAATGGACTGTCTGCTTTTGAAATTGACCCAGTAGGAGAACCCTTTACCTAGACGTTCATTTTCCAGGCCTTTGAGATGATGGCCTTTGGCTCTGCGAATTCAGGAGAATTGTAGATGGCCTCTTGCTTTTTGGGAGAAAGCTGTGTGTATTGGAAAGAGGAAAAAAAAAATAAGAGACAGGAAATGACTGCTGAATTTCTGTGTGGAATGGTCTGTCTGAAAGGCAAAGGAAACATCTTGCTCCCCAGTCTCTCAGCCTCCTGGAAACAGAAGAGGCCATGAGAGGACCACTTCTGGTGGCCATATTTGTTGAAACAAAGGGCCATGTTTCACAGCTGACTCACCAGAAAGGAACAAACACCCTCTTTCTATCCGGCTCTGAGCCTTGGACTTGAGAATCCCCTGAAGAATGTTAAGGGGGTTTAATGTTTCTCAGCAGAAACTGCTTTTAGAGAAAGGAAACAAGGAGGAGGGAAGCATTTTATTGTTTTCCTTTTGGTCTTAACAAACAAGGCCTCTTCAGAAGAATTTCTTTTCTTTCTTTCCTTTCTTTCTTTCTTTCTTTCTTTCTTTCTTTCTTTCTTTCTTTCTTTCTTTCTTTCTTTCTTTCCTTCCTTCTTTCTTTCCTTCCTTCCTTCCTTTCTTTTTTCTTTCTTTCCTTCTTTCTTTCCTTCCTTCCTTCCTTTCTTTCTTTTTTCTTTCTTTCCTTCTTTCTTTCCTTCCTTCCTTCCTTTCTTTCTTCTTTCCTTCCTTTCTTTCTTTTTTCTTTCTTTCCTTCTTTCTTTCCTTCCTCCCTCCCTCTCTCTCTCCCTTTCTTTCTTTCTTTCCTTTCTTTCTCTTTCTTTTTTCTTTCTTTCTTTCTCTTTCTTTCTTTCCTTCTTTCTCTTTTCTCCCTCTCTTTATTTTCTTTTTCTTCCTTTCTTCCTTCCTTCCTTTTCCTCCCTCCCTCCATTCTTCCCTCCCTCCCTCTCTCTCTCTTTCTTTCCTCTTTTTCTTTATCTCTTTCTTTCTTCTCTCTCTCTCTCTCTCTTTGGTGTGATTTTTATTCCCCAAATTCTATTTTTCAGTTTATGCTCAGAAGACTTCATTTCCTCCAAGTCCAGGTGGAAAGCTGCATAGGCCACGATTGTTATTTGTTTTTAATATTTTTTGCTGTGATCAATTTGGAAAATACCAAAAAGCAGAAAAAGAAAATCAAAGCAATCTATTAATATATTCCCAGCATTCAGAGGCATCGCTCTAGGCTTTTGCTACTCTCTGAAAATTGGGAACACATCGTACACATTGCTTTTTCATTTGACAATATACCATAATGAGTCATGAACATTCTTGTGAAATTTTTTTTTTGCGTTCTTATTATAAAACAATGCACTTTTGTTATGGCAAATTAAAAAAATAAAACAAAACAACAAAACTAGATAGCACAGATAAATAAATTTTAAAAACATATAATCCCACCACTGAGAGATAATCACTACAAAATTTGTACCCAACTATTCCTTAAAAATATATTCTTAAAAACATAATATTTTTATCTAAAAACCTAATTTAAAAAAGGCAAGTACAGCCAAGTTGTACATTCAGTGGGGCAGAAAAATAGCTTTTTGTAATGTAAAATCAAGTAAATTTCATACACTACATGATTATTATGTGATAAATACATGGCAAATTCTACTGGTCCAGTGAAACCTATTTAAATCGCCTTCTCCCTTGCCTTCCTTTACTATGGAGCCTGCAAATTAAAAAATACCCAGTTCCTTTGCAGTTGAGGGTGGCCATGTGATTTGTTCTGGTCAATGAAATGAAAGTAGATTTCTGAGAAAGGCTTCTTTTTGCAAATAAAAAGACAGTCATTTACAAAAGAGAAGACTTTTGTCCTTTGTATTTCTCTCATTTTTCCTGTTGCAATGTGGACATGACACCTGGAATGCTGCAGCCATTTTGAAAACATGAGGACAAAATCTACAAGCAGAGGACAATATAGAAAGAAAATAGTAGAAATTATTGATGATTTTCATGGCAACTTCTCCACCTATGAGCAGTCTAACTCTGGAATTCTTGATGAGTGAGAAAAATGTCTCATACTTGGTTATGCCATTATTTGTGGGTTTTCTGTTACTTGCAGCTGAATATTCTCCAAACTATTTTGTGATGGCATGACATTTTATCAAATCTAACATCATTCATGTCTGTCCTGTATCTCTCCATGCTCCATGCCAAATTGTCAACTGTCAAATTAGAACTTAGGAGGGTCCTGTTCACAATAATATGCCTAATCCAGCAAGTTACATATTTAAGATATTTATTTCAGTGGAAGTTCATATCTGGCTGAATTTTCACTCTCTTACTCTTTATTTTATTTATTCAGTTTTGAGACAGAGTCTCATTCTGTAACTCTGGTTGGAGTGCAGTGGCACAATCTCAGCTCACTGCAACCTCTGCCTCCCAGTTCAAGCAATTCTTGTGCCTCAGCCTCCCGAGTAGCTGGGACTACAGATGCTCACCACCACGGCCAGCTGCTATTTTGTTTTTTTTGGTAGAGATGAGGCTTCAACATGTTGGCCAGGCTGGTGTTGAACTCCTGGCCTCAAGTGATTTGCCTGCCTCAGCCTCCCAAAGTGCTAAGATTATAGGGGTAAGCCACCATGCCAGGCCTTATTTTATTTTTTTGAGACAGGGTTTTACTCTTTCACCCAGGCTGGAGTGCAGTGGTGCCATCGTGCATCACTGCAGCCTCAAATGCCTGGGCTTAAGTGATCTTTCTACCTTCTAAGTAGCTGGGACTACAAGTGCATGCCACCATGCCTGGCTAATTTGTTTTTTCTTTAGGAATGAGGTCTTGCTATGTTGCCCAGGGTGGTTTCAAACTGCTGGCCTCAAGCAATCCTCCTGCCTTGGCCTCCCAAAGTGCTAGGATTACAGATATGAGCCACTATGCCCAGCTCACTCCTTTATTTTTATGTAAGTTGCGAAACTTTTCTGTACTCAAACCCCGATAAGTGACCAACTCACCATCTCCAAGTCAAGGACTGAGCTTTATACATCTGTGTATCAACCCACAGCCCAGTGCCCTGTGAATGGTGGATACTCAATAAACATTAGTAATTGAATTGTTTGATTTTAATTTTCTGATGTCTTGGTTATGGAATATGTAAGTCTTTTTGAGATTATTGATTTACACATCTTTACAGAATCCACAAATACAAAACATTGTTTGTTTATCAAAATGCTAATCAGAGCTATTAAAATGATACTATCATATTCTTTTGTTTAAAGAATATTTTTTAGCTTCCTGTCATCCATCAGTTAATTATTGTCCCTAGCAACATAACTCAGTCTGGTGGTGAGATAACACATTTGAAAGAAAGATTGTGTTTAGAAAGACCTTGAAATGATTAGTGAGGAAACTATGATTCAATTCATGTTGTCTTGTCGTGATTGCAAGTGGGATGTGGTCAATTAGTTGAGCTATGCTTTGTGCATCCAGACCCTTATAATTGAGGAGCTGGCATTCTTGCCTGTCTGGGCAGGCAATTGCTCAGCAGGGAGCCTCATGGCTAGACAGGCAAGAGGGAAGAGGGCAATGTGGTTGCTCAATGAGCCTTTAGAACAAATTGATCCGGACTGTTTGTGGTTCCAAAAGCCGCCCACTACTTGCTATGTGATTTTCCTTGTGGACAATTGGGCAATGGGAGGGGGTGGGGACAGGAAACTTTAACCTCTGCCTAGCCACTCACAGCAAGATGAGAGGCAACTGCTCAGTGCATGTCTTCAGCACATGCCCTCTTTTGCCTGGCTTGGTCCATCTTCTTCAGGGATGGGAACCAGCATGATGAGAGAGAAGATACTCAAGGGGCCAGTCTTCTTGACTTCAGCCCTGTGGGAGGCCTCTTGATAACTACAGGGGCCTAGTGGGCTTTGGACCTCACAGCCAATCAGGTGAGTCGCTTCAGCAACTGAAGAACCAAGACAGCTTATGGCTGGGCTCCAGGATCGGGAGGTCCCAAGAGAGGGCAGAGCAGGCGAGAAGGCTCTAAGGTTAATTGGAAAGAACAGAACAGTGAAAACCACTGAGCTCGTTCATGCTCCTTTATCCCCCAAACCATTTTGCCTAAATCAAAGGTCAGGTGTAATGGACCCTCTGTGGGAAGATCACATTAACTGTCATAAGCCATTTTCTAAACTCAGGGGTCAGGACAGAGTCCACAGGAAGTAAAGGAGGAAGATGCTGTGTTGATTGGAAAGGATCATAGATGTCTTCATGTAATGAGCCTTAGGCCAACAATTGCCCTTTACTGAAATGGAAATGGCTAAGAGAGGGAGAGTGGCATGCCTAAGGGGTCAGGGTGTTGGAAGAAAAGGTGAATGTTGGGAGAGAAGCTGAGGCAGGGCTTGCATGTCTGACATAATGTAAAAGAGTCTTGGAACATGTCCGGGGTCCAGGGTCTAAAACCCTTCGTGGCCTTTGGAACACCAAGCTCTGTGCTGAAGGGTAGAAGTCTGCCCTGCCTTACCATAATCTAAGCCCAGGGCATAAAACTCCTCATGGCTTGGATGGAATCCAGGGCTCAGGGCATAAAACCCCTTGTGGCCTCTGGAATGTGTCTAGACTTGCTGGCTCCTTGCTTCTAGCACTCCCATTATCTCAAGTAGCAGAACATGTTCAATATGCAGCAAAGAAAATGCTAAACCATCACAGCTGTAGCTCATTCGCTTGATGCATCACTTTCTCTCAACCTTCACATCCTCACCACCTGTTTCTTTGTTTGATCACCAATAAATAGCGTGGGCTCCCAGAGCTCAGGGCCTTCACAGCCTCCATACTAGCATTGGCTCCCTGGTCCCACTTTCTCTCTTGCTTTTTCTCATTCCTTTGACTCCGCCTGACTTCATAGCCCCCACGGCCTGGTGTTGGGTCCGATCACCCCAACACAGGGTGCAACTAGGCTTCTTCACACCAGGCCTGCTGATCCTTCCCCATGTCTCTTCTGAGCCTCCTTTCATATTTCCAGTGGGAAGTGGCTCGCACTTCCCTGCAGCCTCTGTGTTCTGATTGCTGTGCTCTGCAAGTCCTACTTCTTCTCCTCTCATACTCTCCCCAGTGAGGACCTTCTCTTCAGGGGCAAACCACCTGGTTCCAGAAAAGCACATATCACATGCTGAGAACATAGTGGGTGCTCAGGCAATGTCAGTCTTCCCCCTCCTTTAGCAGCTCGTTGATCCCTGGAAGATCAGGAAGCAATTGGAAACCCAAACTAGATGCCTTTTATGTGCTAAACTACATTGCAAGCTATTTGGGCAAGGGCTTTGCTTGGTCTCTCCTGTAAACTCAGGGCCTAGCTTGGGATCTAGCACATAGTGGGTGCTCAATACAAGCTTGTTGACAAAATAAATGAGCACCATGGGAAAAATGGTGTGATCCTCAGAGCAGTCAGGTGAGGCTGCCAGAGGAGGTAGGGCTGAGCCAGGCTCTAGAAACAAGAGTACTTGTGATTCTTTTGTTTATTCATTATATTGATTTAATAAATATATATTGTGCCAGGCATTCTTCTAGATGAAGGGAACACTGCAGCGAGCAAAACAAAACATCCTTGCCATTAAGAAGCTGACACCCTAGTGGAGGGGGATAGTTGACAGACAATGAGCTCTGTAATGTTTTATGATGATTCATGTAACGGAGGAAAATGAAAGAAGGTAGCAGGGACAGAGATGGTGGGTGGTGGTGGGGAGTCGAGGGGAAGCTGACATTTTATATGGAGAGGTCAGAGAGGGCTTTACTTACGGAAAAGGGACCGTGAACTGCTCTGTAGCAGATCCCAGTGCCAGAGGATCCCACTCAGACTCCCACAAACCCATGACTCCCTAGAATATTCTTTTCCCTTTGCTTCCCTAAGTAAACATCCTGGTAGTGGAATCAGGCTGGCTGGCATAGGTAGGACGGTGGCATTGTGGGATGGAAAGGTGGTGGTGGTCACACCTAGATGTGGTGGTCACACACAGACTAGGTGCTCAGTACCCAGAAGCTTTGAACCCCAGTCCATGGCTTTCCAGGACTTGACTCAGTGGTCCCCACCCTCAGAACTCTTCCCTCCAGGAGCCAGCAGCTCCCAGGCAAGGCCATTAGAGGGGCTTATCCAGTGCTGGACTCTCCTCTGGGATTTTGGAATTGTTGGCAAATTGGTTCTTGTGTGTATGGTGGGGGAATCTGGATAGTGTCACATTGTGAAAAGGCGGCACATCCTGGTTTTAGACCAGAAGCTGAAATCCAGGCTGGGGTGCCATCCACCCCATTCTGGCAGAGATCCCTGGGGCCACTTTCTTGCTGGGGAGCGAGGCTGGCACGTGGGATCACCAGGCTGGCCCTGACCAGGCAAAGTCATCCTAAGGCGTTTGCTTCAGACTAGAATGTTAAGCGCTCCGCATAATGGGAAGGCTATGTGCATTCTGTGGAAATGACTGTGATACTCACTGGTCTGGGATTATCGTTGTTTGGATATAAACAAACAGGTGATCCTGGAGTCTGGAGAACTTGCGGTGACTATGGCACATGCCTCTTTCCTGCCGAGAGCTCCATGACTGTCATTGGATTCCAAAAGGGGTGGTTGACTCTCAAATGGCAAAGATTCATCAATTTAATATTCATAAGGGTCCTTGGATTCTTAGGGGCAGAAAAGGATGTTTTTAGTCCTTAGTACTTGCATATTTTGATCTTTCGAAAGGCTTTGATCTTTCTGATCAACAAGTTTGAATAGAGGAAAGGTCAAGGTTGCCTTCCCAAAACATAAAGACAAACAGCTTCCAGGAGAAGAGAGGCCAGGGGAACACTTTGTGCGTCCCATTTATGATAGGCTTTGCTTTGAATACAGACACTTGCTTGGAGGGAATCTAAGACAGCTTGCAACCCTCTCTCATCACCTGTGTCTTGCAGAGGAGGAAATTTAAACCTTGCCTCCTGGACTGCAACCTAAGGCCAGAAAGCTTAGCTCATTTTCTGCCAGTGGAGAAACAAGGCAGACATTTATCGGTACATACTAAAAGAATGAATCCCTGCTTTCCAGGAGATGAGAAAATGGCACTTTGGGTCCAGTTGTTCTTGCTGCAAAAAATAATCATGATCATTGTGTATGAAATAATATAACTTATTATTACTTAAATTGTATTTTAAATGGCTGGGTTGTTTTTTTTTTTAGCTCCAGATAAGAATGTTTACATTGAAGGAATGCTTTATACTTTTCAAAACACTCTTATTTTCATTATTACTGAATCATTGGTCTCAGTTTTCTCACTTGGGGAGTGTGGGATGCGAACAAATCAAGGGGAAATGATAGACGTCACTACACATGTCATCTTAGCTTGATTGGTCACCCTGTGTCAAGAAGGATGCCGAGGCCACTTCTGAGCTCTGCGGGAAGGTGCTTCCTGATGGATTAGTCAGTTCTATGATGAATGTCAGAGGAAGGATCTAGTTACCCAAAACCCCGTGATGCCTGTTATCTTTTCCAACCCTAAGTGTCCATGACTCTAGGGCAAGGGTCAGTAAATTACAGCCCTGGGACCAAGTCCAGCCCACCACAAGTTTTTATTTGAATAGAATTTTGCTGTCATCTTTGTTTATATGTTATTCTTGGCAGCTTTTGCGCTACACGGCAGAGTTGATTAGTTATAATAGAGACTGTATAACCCACAAAGCTTAAAATATTTGCTATTTTGTTCTTTTCAGAAAAGTTGGCCAACTCTGTCTTAGGGCAGTTTAGAGTACTTCTTTTTTTTTTTTTTTAGATGGAGTCTCGCTCTTTCACCCAGGCTGGAGTGCAGTGGCACGATCTCGGCTCACTGCAAGCTCCGCCTCCCGGGTTCACGCCATTCTCCTGCCTCAGACTCCTGAGTAACTGGGACTACAGGCGCCCGCCACCATGCCCGGCTAATTTTTTGTATTTTTAGTAGAGACGAGGTTTCACTGTGTTAGCCAAGAAGGTCTCGATCTCCTGACCTTGTGATCTGCCCTCCTGGGCCTCCCAAAGTGCTGGGATTACAGGTGTGAGCCACTGCGCCTGGCCTAGAGTACTTCTAAAAAACATAAATATATCCAACATCACCATGGAGGAGGGAGGAAGATCCTAGTAGCCTTACTTTAAGAATAAAGGAAGTGAGGGACCATAAGAAGTAATTTGCTTAAGGTCACAAGGCCAGGTATCACTTTATAGGTTCCCTAAGGCCCCCAGTTCATTCCACTGCAACATGTGACTTCAAAATAGAATGTCCTAGTTTGGTGTAGAAAAGTTGATTTAATTTGTTTTAGGATAAGAGTTACACACCACATATTTAGCTGTAAGCTAGGAGATCGATAGAATTTGTTTCATGTGCAAGACTGGGAGCTTGGAAATCCCTGGTTGTTATTGGATCTCAGGCACTTCATGTATTCAACAGTGTGAGTCCTCCTAGAAGAAGATGCTGAAACAGGAGTAGATATGTAAAAGATTTATTGGGGGAGGTGCTTGTGAAGGATGAAAGGAAATGGAGCAGAATTAGGTAGGCCTTGGACCATGGTGCAGGTCTGAGCCCTGTGAAAGGAGAGAGCAAAGGAAGGATTGGGTCAGAGGAGCCCCAGACCACAGGGCAGCTCTGAGAAAGGCTGCCAGACTGATGAAGAAGGCTACATGGGGAGAAGGGGAGAGACCTGGCTCTTATGCCCCCATTGTATTCAGCTGCTGACCAGGAGTGGCCTGGGGTACATGTGGCCCTGGCAGGAATGGCATGGTGGAGTCAACAGGGCAGCATCGAGAGGCTCTCAGTCAACCAGGCACCTGCAGCAGGTTCTCTTGAAGGGGAATCTAAACAGTGCTCCTCTGTGGCTGGCATGGCATGGATTATTTACCCACGCCATGGGTAAATGGTGTGGCTGGGCCTGGCTCTGTGCTAGGGCTGGAGGCTACAGAGATCTGAGAGAACATTGTTCTCATCCCCAAGGCGGTTCATGATCTAGCTGGGAAGACCAAACATTCAAACCTGAACAAGCAAATATGCATAAGGCAATAATAAAAGGGGGTGTGTAGTGGAGTAGCCTGAAATTATCAGGAACCATGTGTGCCATGCTTCAAAGAGGGACCCTGGGAGGAAAGCCTGGGATGTTCCCATTTGGTATGATGACAGGCATGTGTGCAGGGTGCTCTGAGTCATTTCAGCCTTCCCCATGCCCACGAGTCACCTTCCCCCATCTGGCATTCATCGAATGCCTACCAAGTACAAGGCTCTGTGCCAGGTACAGCCAGTAGGTGGGTTCTTTGCCATAAACAAACTTACGATATTGAGGGGTGTTATAGGCACTGATGAGTCATTTAAAAAAACAAATCTATAGAAATATGTTTGGGTTTGTGTGGTTCTCTTAATGACTGGAATCCTGCTAATACTCAGGTGAGGCACAAACAATGGGCAAAATCATTCATTTAGCAAACATATATTTGTAAAGCTCTGCAATGCATGATGCAGTAGTAGGAAGGAAGTCTTTTATTTCCATTCATTATAAAAAATAGAACAAATTTAAATTTAGAAAAATATGAAAAATATAGAATAACAAATTATAAACACCGGAATATACCTACCACCCAACTTCAACAATTGTCAACTCATGACAAATTTTGTTTCACCTTTAGCGTCACCCACATCCTCTCTCATATTAGTTTGGAACAAATTTGCAGACATCATATCATTTTACTGGTGAATATTTTGGTAGGTATCTCTGAAGGATAAGGATGCTGTTTTTCTTTTGAAATATATCCAGAATACTACTACATGTGTCACCTTTGTGAGTCTCATTTTCTTATTTATGAAATGAACATACTGGTATCTATTTTGCAGGGTTATTATCTCCATTTTATATGAAGTACTTGGTCCATATTTAGCTATAGTCATATTCCCTATTATGATTATAGCACATATGAAAAATTGTGACTCAGAAGGGCATAGAAATCTGCTTTTCAATAGGATATTGAAGTGGTTCTGATGCAACCGTGGCCAAGACCACATGTTGAGACACACTGTTCTGGGGGTATACAATGACAAATTGGTGCCATCTTTTTAAAACCTAAGTTGAATTATGTCATTTTCAGACATTTTCCAGGGCTTTCAGGACACACTCAAACACTTTATCTTATACTCAAAGTTCTTCAGGACTTAGAACCAGTGACTCCTAAATTTGAGTGGGCATCATAATTACTTGGACATTCTGTTAAAATGCAGATTCTCAGGTTCTGTCCCTAGGGCTTCTGGGGTGGTGCCTAGGAATCTGTATGCTTATTAAGTTCATGAAGACTAGTGATACAGGGGTCCTCCCACCACACTTTGATGACTCTAGATTTGAGAAGTAAGAGAGATAAACCCACAGTCACCTGGAGGACTCACTCTCACAGTCTATTTAGAATGTTTGGTCACTGTGCAAGAGTAGGTAGGTATGTGTATGCAAGTGCATATTATGTCCACATTAGGGGGCAAAAACTGACAGCCCACAGACTGAGTTTATCTTGAAATCTGTGTGTGCTTTCTGGCTTGTACAGTATTTCATATCTGTGAATGTTTACCAAATTAAAGAAAACAGATTTCACATTAAAATCTTTATTTCTGTCCTCCTTTGAAGATAAAAAGGTCTGACCACACTGAGACTACATTTTCCCATGGCAATATTGGACTGGAGGTGGTAGATGCCATTGGATGTGATATATATTCTCCACTTGACCCCAGTCCCCACTACTTCTCATTAATCACATCTAACCCAGTTTTCTAGTTTACATTGGCTGCCTGGTGCTAAGACACTTTTGAATTTGTGATATAATCTCCCCATGTAAGTTGACATGTGTGTGTGTGTGTGTGTGTGTGTATGTGTATTTGTGATCTGTCCTTGGCAGTGCAGATCAAAGCCAAATCGAAGATGGGTTAGTTTGGTCATGACATGCACATCAGTGGTACACATCATTGGGTAACACCATTGATGGAAGTTTCCACAACTCTTCTCTGGGAGGAAAGAATCATCCCAGAGAAAAATACTCAGAAGATAGCTGCAGCAAGGTAATTGCCCTCATTATAGGAGCAGTTTCTTTACTCAGGTGATGACATACAGTAAGATCACCACAAACCCACTATTCAAGGACACAGGCTTTTACCTAACCTCGAGGAAATTAAAACTAAAGCCACTCACACCCTTCTCTGAAGGCAACAAAACACAGATAGCTAAAAGCGAAGATACATGCATATGAATACATGTGCACAGAGAGATGTATTCTCACAGTTATACGTGAGTATGGCTCTAGATGCATGTATGAAACCACCCAATGGTTCCATTTTGCCCACTGCCCAGATAGAGCCAATTTATCAAAACAGGAGAATGCCAATAGAGAAAGAGTTTAAGTCATGCAGAGCCTGCAGAATGGCAGACAGGAATTCTATTACACAAATCCATCACCCCAAACATTGAGAGGCCAGGGTTTTTCTAGGATAGTTTGGTGGGCCAGGGAATGGGTGCTGCTGATTGATTGGGGATCCAATTATAGGGGTGTGGAAAATGATCCTCCTGCCTGCTCAGCCTGCTTCTGGGTGGGGCCACAGATCCAGCTGACTGTCTGGGTGGAGCCATCAGTAGTCAGAAATTTTTCAGTCAAAAACCTGAAGAGACATCTAAAAAGGCTAATCTTAGGTTCTACAAGAGCAATGTTATCCGTAGGAGTAATTGGAAAAGTGGCAAATCTTGTGACCTCCAGAATAATGGCTGGTAATTGTTTACCTTAGCAGAATTCAGGGTCCTTTCATTCTTCTAACCTGGTGGTCTGTCATTAGTTTTACAAAGGCGGCTTAGTTTTAGGGAAGGGCTATCTTTTAAACTATAAATTAAATGTCTCCCAAAGGTCACTTGGCCAGACCCCAGGAATGATTAAGGGCATTTTGGAGGTTAAAGGCAAATTGGGGTTGGTTAAATCAGATCTCTTTGACTGTCATAATCTCACTGTTATAAAATTTTTGCAGAGGGGGTTTCATACATGCTATAAACACAAGTGATTTTGGTAGTGCTAGAATAATCACAGAAGGGAAAATGTATTAAGTGGCAGCTTGCGAAAGACAGAAAGAAAATGAATGTAAGAACTCTCTTAGAAGTGGGAGCATGAAATGATAGAAAAATTATGGATTTTGGAGTCAATCTGACAGTGACTTGCCTGATGTGTACTGAGTTCTGCAAGTAATGAAAATTAAAGGGAAATCAAATGAAGTTGGCAGGATCTTGGTGCCACGAATCAAGATCCAGGGGCTGTGAGGTGCCTGGCTGATTCCAGACCTCGGGTACTTCCACATCCTAGGTGTCCTTTCCATCATCCTCACTCCCAGGTGAAAGCACTTTGCATTGGAATCTCCATCTCAGGCATGACCTGTGGCCAGGCCCTGTCACCTGTGTGCACATGGCCTGCTCAGCCTCCTCTCTACCCCTATGGCTTTAGCCTCTTTCTGGGAGGGTCCTTTTCTGGTGCTGCTATGCCAGGGCTGTGGGCTTTGGTTGGGACTGGACAGGTGCTGAGAATCTGGGAGGATGCTGTCGCTCTCAGTCACCACACTCGTCGTCCCTGTGTCAGAGGCGTTCAAACCAGTGACTCCATCTTGAACAGGGGCTGGTAAAATGAGGTTGAGACCTGCTGGGCTGAATTCCCAAGAGGTTAGGCGTTTTTAGCCATAGAATGAGATAGGAGGTTGGGGCAAGATACAGGTCACAAAGACCCTGCTGATACAACAGGATGCAGTAAAGAAGCAGGCTAACACCCACCAAAGCCAAGATGGCTACAAAAGCGGCCTCTGATCATCCTCACTGCTCATTATATGCTAATTATAATGCATTAGCATGCCAAAAAACACTCCCACCTGCGCCATGACAGTTTACAAATGCCATGGCATTTACCCTGTGTAGTCTAAAAAAGGGATGAAATCTCAATTACGGGAACTCCTCACCCCTTTCCTGGGAAATTCCTGAATTTAGCAAGGAAATTTAGCAAGGGAAATTCCTTTGTTTAGCATATAATCAAGAAATAACCCTAAGTGTACTCAGTTGAGCAGTCCATGCTGCTGCTCTGTCTATGGAGTAGCTGTCTGTTTCTTTACCTCTCTTAGAAACTTGCTTTCACTTTACTCTGCGGACTTGCCCCAAATTCTTTCTAGCACCAAGAACCCTCTTCTGGTGTCTGAATCAGGACCCCTTTCTGGTAACACCTGGTTGATTTTTTTTTTTTTCTTATACCATCCTACCCATTACATCTGTCTTATTGTTTATCTAGTGACCTCAAGGGTTTGGATAAAACATTCCTGGCAATGGGTCAAGCTGAGAACTTGGCCAGCTTTCAGTGAAGTCCTCTCCATCTCTCCATAGCCACTCTGTTTTCTCTCTTTTGTAGCCGTCTTCTCCTGCATCTTAAGACTCCCATGATCCTTAATCCCGTTCTGTGTCCCCTGCTCTGTATGGCATTCTCCTCAGCAAGGCCTACCCCACCTGCAGTGCTTCCATCCAGAGTTCACCTTCCTCTCACTTAAACAGGCCAGGCAGTGCTCTCAGTAGGCTGTTAGGAAGGAAGCAAGTTGATTCTACCTGTATCTGGGAATCAGATCTCTATCTTCCTTTGAATCATCAATTGCCAGCTTGCTAGCTCTGTCCCTCTAGGTAAGATATTCAGTCTTTCTGAGCCTTAGGTAAAAATGTTTTAAATGCCAACATAACAGCTATTTGTCGGCCTAATTGCCATTTTCTCCATAAATAATGATGAAGCCCTTTTAAATTTCTTTCTTTTTTTTTTCTCTCTTGAACTAAACATCTAGGAAGCCAAGACTGAATATTTAGGAGAAGAATAAAGACCTGTTTTTCATGTGAAGAGTTGAAGTAGGAAGAACATAGGACTTCATTCTGGCTTCAGTTCCTGCCTGGGTAGATTTTGGCAAGTTACTCTAAAGTTTCTGATTCTCCAGGACCTCATCTTTGAAATGACAATAAAAATACTACCTTCCTTTTGCTTAGAGTTGTGGGGAGGGTTACATGAGCGAGAATGTATAATTATGCTTTATGCACTGTGAAAATCTGTGTAAATGTTAGACTCGGCTGCTGCTGTGACATCATAACTTCTGGCGGGAGAGAAGCCCTTCAATGACTAGCTCTCTCATTTGCTTTGTTCTTTCCTGTTTCCCTGCTATGAGGTTGTGAATTTGTGGCTCTAAGGGTATGCAAACTTGTACATGAATGTCAATAGCAGCATTATTCATGATTTCACAAAACAACAAAGCAAAACATGGAAACCACCCAAATGCCCTCCAGCAGATGAATGGTGGATATCTGTATAAATTGTAGTATATTTATGCTATGTAATATTATTCATCAATAAAAAGAAACGAAGTAAACCTTGAAAACTTTATTATACTATGTAATATTATTCATCAATAAAAAGAAATGAAGTAAACCTTGAAAACTTTATGCTAAGAGAAATAAAACTGCTGCAAAGGTCACATATCCTATGATTGCATTTATAGGAAATGTCCAGAGTAGGGGTTTCTGATCTGTAGAAGACATACAGTAGATCAGTAGCTGCCTAGAGCTGGAGGAGGTGTTGGCAGGGTTGGGAGTGGTTGTTAATGGGAAGGGAGTTCTTCATGGGGTGATGGAATGTTCTAAAATTCATTCTACTGATGGCCGCACAACTCTGTGTCTGTATTAGAAATCACTGAACTACACATACACTTTAAATGGGTAAATTGTGTGGTGTGTGCATTTTATTTCAACGAGACGTTATATATCAATATTTTTTTTAAAAGGAGTGGAGATACACACCTTTGCTTTTTCTCCTTCTTTCCCCAGTAGGAGTGGTGGCTCACACCCGTAATCCCAGCACTTGGGGAGGCCAAGATGGGAGGATCATCTGAGGTCAGAAGTTCAAGACCAGCCTGGCCAACATGGTGAAACCCCATCTCTACTAAAAATAAAAAAATTAGCTGGGTGCATTGGTGGGTGCCTGTAGTCCCAGCTACTTGGGAGGCTGAGGCAGGACAATCTCTTGAAGCCAGGAGGCAGAGGCTGCAGTGAGCCAAGATTGCGCCACCGCACTCCAGCCTGGGGACAGAGTGAGACTCTGTCTCAAAACAAACAAAAATAAAATAAAAAAAAAATAAAAAAGGAGACGAGATATACACCTTTGCTTTTTCTCCTTCTTTCCCTAGTAGAAGCCCTGCAGGGGGTCGCCTTGGAGAATATTTTGACTGTACTTGTCCCTCTGACTTGGATCCGTTTCCTGTCCACCACTACTGGTTTTGTTGTAGTTCCTTTGGACAGGCCCATACCGTTCATGACAAGCCCTCTTCACCAGTCCCTGCCATTGGTTCCACTGCACTCAGGACTTCTTTCACAAACTGCTACCTCCTGTGCTGACCTTGTTTCGGGAGGGCAGGGAACTGCGCCAGGTTTAACTCACCTCAGTGCCCCCAGTCAGCACATCTCTACCAGAGTAGATGCAAAATAAATAACTGTTGCATGAATGCATATTTACCTAACAAGAGGGTTCCCCTTAAGTTCAATATTTAAGCTTAAGAGCTTAAATATTGAACTCTAATACATCAAGACCCTTTGAGGGTTTGCCTACCGGTCTATGGGGCCTGTAAGAGCCTCACAGGAAGGAGAGAGAGTTTTTATGCATTTAGTCTTTGCAACAATTAAACAGGAAGCAACTGACAGTGTTCAAAGTCACATGGACAGGGCTACCAAGGGCCTTTATTGGCCCCTACACCTTCTTAGTCCCCAGAACCTACTCTCTTTACAAGACCTCTTCATAAGCCAAACAGAGCAATAATAGCTTTGAAAGGGGAGGGTGGCAGCAGCTGGAAAGGGGATGAAGAAATACAGAAGACCAAAGTCATGACTGATTGAAGACAAACAGGAAATGCACGTAAAGCATCTCCGTCATCTCTCCATGACCGTTTCAGGGTTACAGTCAGTGAGCTGCACATTTGGCATCAAATAGACTCACCCTGTGGGGACCCCAGCCCCCCTCAGCCCCACTCAAGCCTCCCTTCCCCTCAGCAGTGAGAAATGCAAGTTGGAAACAGCCAGGCCAGGAGCCTGCCCCACGTGAACACTCAAGCTGCGGACACCTCCACCGAGAATGAGGTTACTGAGCTTGGAGCTTCACTTCCCAGTTAGAAAATCCCCACCAGGCAACGCGAAGAAGACACCATTTGTTGCATCATTAAATTGTAACAAGCCCTGAAATGCACTCCGGAAGCCTGGGTCTGTTTGTCCTTGCAGTCGGAAGGACGCCTGTGATTGGCTGGCCAAGCTCAGCCTAGCAGGCCTTATCTCTGACTGGTTATTATTTGATTGAAGAGCCTTCCTCCTCCTGTGGTGTTTCAAAACTGCTCTGGGAGAATTTGCTGTTGCGGGGGGGACTCTTTCTGAGGTTACTGTGGAGCACCCAAAGTCCGTCAGCCTCTGGCCGTGCAGAGGGGCACCCAGAGGAAGTAGACCTTGCTTCTTATTCACCCACAGCTTGGGACTGTCTTCTCCAGAGTCTCCATCACCTTTGCTAATCGACTGATTGGAAATAATTCCTCAAACACCACCAAGTCAAGGATACAGGTATTTAAAAACCTGGGGGTCATGGAGTAATTTCTTAGGATGTCATGACATGAGACATGGAGGCAGGATGAGGAAGCCAGGGAAGCAGCGTGGAATGCAGGAGAGGCAGACACAGTAGGAAGAAGAAAGTCAAAGACAAGAACTCAGAATCATGGAATTCCATGGCTAAGGCAAAACTGAGGCTCGTAGGCATAGTTGTTTGCAGCTGAAAAGAGGTGCAAGCGCTTTTGTGATGTAACATTCACACCTGTGTCCATTTGCTCCTCATGAAATCCTTCCCGAGATTTTGCTAGTCTTTTGGCCTCCGTGTAATCCTCCATCCTGGCTCAGAACCCCCAAATCCTCAGAGGATTTTGGACACTTTACGAAAAATGTAATTGCTTTGGCTTGAAACATCATTAAATCTGATTTGCAAACGGCACATGGCCTTCAAAGGCTCTGCTTAGTAGTACAGATCCTGGTACCAATCCTCGTGATGTTGGCTACAGAGGAAAGAGGAGGAGCTGAGCACCTCTTTTAGGAAACTTTGTTTCCCCCTTTAAGATCTGTGTTTAACGGGTGATATTCATTCTCATCCCTACTGTATTCCCTACTCGGGGGTGTTTTCTGAGCTTGGGTCGGGCAGACAGTCTCGTATCAAAGGACTTTCTCACTGTAGGGGAAAGCTGGGCTCCATTTGGGGCCAGCAGGATTTAACCGTCTGGAATGAAGATCAAAGACGGCAGAAAAGACAGGCTTCATTCTCTCTGTTAGATTTGGCTGGAGGTGGCAGCAGAGGGGAAGATACGACGCAAAACCAAGGAAGTCAATACTTTTGTTTTAGTACTGAGTGGAAAAGAATGTTTTTTACAGTATGTCAGTATTCTTAACACTGATTTTTCCCTGTATGCATTTCAGGTTAAAAAATAACCATGCCAACCGCATTTCCTGCTTCCACTCTCTGTGGCTGTCTATATTGTCTTGATTCCCAGTGTTGGTATCCAGATAGTCCCTGCTTTGTTAGCCGCAGTGGAATGAGTCCGTGGATCCCCCGGCAGGACGGTGGAGATGCTTCCTGTGCTGACTGCTGTGGTCCCCAGGGAGCCTTCTCTGCAGGGGTCCCATGGGATTTCCTGAGCTTATCCAGAGTATGAGGGCCGAGAAGTTTGTCATAATGACTCATGCTCTTCTTCATACATTTATGGAAACTGCCAGGAGGCGGAGGACAAGCCCGACGCAAGGGGTTATACTTCTTGGATGTGATTCTTCTCTGCTCTTTTGGAACATTTTCTCCCTTTGCCATTACCAGCATGGTCTGGATCCTGTGTGCCTCTTGGGCCTCTTTTCTCCTCCTTCTCTACCTCTGCCTCACCACAGGAACACGCTTTCTGTTTTCTGGACCCACCGTGGTCGAACCTTATCACATGTTATCCTGTCTGCTTAAAGCATTCTTCACCCTACCCTGCCTCCGGGTCTGACCAAGTCAGGAGATTAGTCAGGACTCTTTCTGAGTAAATCCACTTCTGCTATGAGGTTAGGGTCCCCTGAACTTCCCCTTACTGGACCACTAACCACATTGTCTGACGATTGCTTGTTTCCTGATCCATTGCCCCCACCAGACTGATAGCTGTGAAGGCAGGGTTCATGCCTTTATGACTCCCAGCCAGGACCCCAGAGCCTAGGAATCTGTGACACCCAGTAGGCTCTTTCTTGTGATAATGGCTAACATTGGTGGAGTGTCTTCTATATACCCAGCACTCTCCTAAGGGCTTTATCTTATTAACTCAGTCCCCACAATGAGCCATTGAAGTCACTGAGGTGTGTGTCAACCCATTTAACGAATGAACAAACTGTAAGTTAAGTAAATGGCAGACTTCAGAGCCCTTTTTTTTTTACATCTATGTCACGATGGCCACTCTAGGGCTGAATGAGCCAGTGAGGAATGAATGAATGATAGCAGGCTGATGGTAAAAACATTGTAACTGTTTCACATGCTCGGCTGGACCCATTCATTCAGCCGGGCCTACTGAGCACCAGCCATGTGCCAGGCTATGAGCAAGGCTTTGAGAATACAGTGATTAGCAAGTACAGACCCTGAGCTGAGATGTTTCAGTTCTCAGCTCTGCTCTGTTCTCTCTGTCGAGATCAGCTTTCCCGTCCCTCTCACCTGCCTTGGGAGCCAAGGTTAAGCACTTACAGGCTCTCGCCTCAACACGAAGAGGAGCTCCATATCTGGAGTTTGTTCCAACCTTGAAGTAAACGCTTAATGAAGCTAGCCTTGTCTGGAAGCTGACTGTATCTCAGGCACCAGGCTGAGTGCTTTGCCCTGGCTGATCTCATATTTCCTCCTTGTGAGGCAGAGGGGTTACCACCACCCTGTGTTTCAGACGAACGAACCAAGGCTAAGAGAACATAAGGAATATGCCCAAGCTGGTAAGTGCTAGAGCTGGGACTCAATGGCAGGCTGGTCTAGCCTCCAAGCCTTTGCCCTTTCCATCAACCAGGGACTTTCTCAAGACCCTAAGCTTTGGGCTCACTGCATCCTGATGACTGGTTTCCGTTATTAAAAGTAACAGCAAAAACCAGAACTAACTTTTGCACCAACCTAATAATATTCCTGTCAAACAGATATTCCTGTCTGTCTGCCTCCCCAGTTACTGAGTTGGGGTTTTCTTCCTGCTTAGTGGTCCTCAGCCCCCTCTTCCTTGACTGTACCCCTGACCTAACATCTTTTCTGACCACTGATGCTTGTGGGCTCCACATTTGTGCCTGATTAGGCAAGACGGGGCACCTGCCTGGGGACACCTGCTTTGAGCCACCCTCAGTCTCCAAGTGGCCCCTCCTCTTCTCTTCTCT